CACCAGACGCTCGCCGACGAGTCCTCCTTCTGGGCCTGGCTCCAGAAGGGGACCCCGGGCTTCCTCCGGGCCGGGTATCCTCACTTCGTGTGTCGTCTTTCATGAGGTCTTGTGAAACTGTTTTAATACAGTCTGGTTGTGGAGGAGGCACACAGGTAAGAGCACTAACTAGCTACCATCATATGTAACTAAGCTTGACTTGAATTTATTAAAAGTATAATTAAGTAACAGCAACAAATCAATAGCTAAAATCATGCAAAAATGGGAATATTTGCTGGATCCACTGTTGAATTTACCACATATTGTATATTTTAGAAACCTGAAGGCATTTATTTTTATGCAAATATTATCCAAAAAACTCAATACCTTAGATTATTATTGAAAGTTTTGCTGAATAGTTTCATGTTCACTTACCTTAAGCAAGGTAAAACGTGCAGACCGGGAGCAACAGATGTAGGTTAGCCGGCTAGCTGGAGTACATAGGTTAGTCTTATATTTACTTACTGTTTACTAACTAATGCTAACATAACTGTTGGCTAGAAGTACACAGCTTAATTAACCATATTTAACAGGCCATTGTCCTCTCAGCCTGAAATATCAATCACTTCAATAAATGGTAAAACAAAAAAGGAAAGGTTCTGGCTCAATTTTGGTTTAGTTAGCTTGTTAGCTTATTGCAGCTGTGCATGTTGCTAGCGGGTTGCTAGGCCACCTCACGAGCTGCGCCAGGTGATGTAAACAAGAACACCTCCATAGACCAGACCGTCTCAGTTTGTAGACTGCTCGGTCCAGGCTCCAGCCTACGGCTGCGGTGCTGTTTCTCTATAAATCCATGCTGAATTGGACCTTCTGTTTCATTCTTCTTCTTTAATGGCGACTTCCAAACAGAGTAGACGAGAATTATCACCACCTACTGTATCACTGCAGCATTGTTCTTTGTTACTTCCGTTTCATTACAATGACTTCCGTTTCATTACAATGACTTCCGTTACAGCAAGAATCCCCCTCACACACACATAGGTGAAACACATGCACATTCCCTATTGAGAACCTTTCAGTAAAATGTTTTCAGTTGCGTGTGTGTGAGGTTAATTTTCAGTAGTGTGTGGGCGAGGTGTTCAGTAGTGAATGTGAGAGGATTTCAATAGTTAATTTTCAGTTGCGTGTGTGTGAGGCTTAATTTTTGAGAGTATTTCAGCAGTGTGTGCGCAAGGCCATATGTTTTCAGTATAGTGTGTGCGAGGTTAGTTTGAATTTTGGCCTACACAGCCCCTCGTACAACCCCCTCCCCCCCCCAAACCGGCATTGTGTTTTTAATCATTACCTAGAGACCTGGCCGGGGCTTAGTTTACAGATCGGCCCAGGTCAGATTACTGGGCTGTATGGACGACCCAAAAGAGGATCAAATCCAAAAGGAATCATGGGAAAAGAGAACTCCCAGAGCTGGAAAAGTCACAGTTGATAAAGTGAAGCTCGATTGCCATCCAGTACCTCAGATTTACTCTCATTTGTAGCCAGAATGATGAATGAGAAGGACAAACTCAAAGCCAAATCTCTGTAGAGTGTGTGTGTGTGTGTGTGTGTGTGTGTGTGTGTGTGTGTGTGTGTGTGTGTACCGCCTGATGTCAGTAAACAGTGTGTGTGTGTGTGTGTGTGTGTGTGTGTGTGTGTGTGTGTGTGTGTGAGAGATGCACAGCCCTCCCCATGGTGTGCGAGGTCGTATCTGCTGACAAACTATTAGGCTAGTTAAACACTGAACAACTTGTTCTCTTTTTTTACAATGTTTGTATTCTCCAGGATCTTGTCGTCCAGTAATGGGGTCCTGTAGTCATATGTCTTACATGTTACAGTATTGGCATGCACACACTGACTCCTATAGAGCGCTGTTGGCATATCAGGTTGTTAAATCCATATGCAATCACACTCCGAACCACTGTCAAAACACCAGACTGCCTCCACCTGTGATCCATATGCCTGAAGCTATGTCAGCTGTCCAATAAGTGCTGTTTTTATTCGCCCCTACTTAAATGGTAAGGCTGGCAATATAATTTCTGCAATATTATTTACTTTTGTTACTGCCAACAAAACAAACAGTGTGTTGGTCCATCCCTAAATACAATCTGCCTTCACTGTCAATCAGCTACAAGACCACTGGTTCCAAATGAAGATGTGAATCTTATAAACTAGCCAAGATATACATTTGTACATCATGCAATAAACATTTGCTGGAAGCTAAACCGTTTCTTGCAAACATTTCTCTGGAAATAATCCACATTTGGTGCTTTGGTGAGATTTCAGGGCAGCAGGGGGATGTAGAAGAATATATACTTTATTCATATCAGTTTTTACTCTGTTAGTATATACTATTGGTGCTATTTGTGTAATACAAACATGGCAAACATGTTTTGGCCTGTACTTGGACTCAAACCAGTGACTGGTGACCATCCAGTTCCCAAGCCAAGCCACTGAGCCACTGTGTGTGGTACAGAATAAAGTACTGCATCACCTAGTGCAGAGGGGGGGGCTTATTGAAGTGTATTTATGTGTGAAGATGGTAGGCTTTGAGCATAGACTGTATATATACATAGGAGTTCAACCTATCCCGTTTTTCTCCCATGGGACAAACTGAAAGTTCCCCTGATGGCTGGAGCCTCTTCCATTTCTTGTTATTTTCCATCTGACCCTGGTTCTCTGTTCTCGTGTCCAGATCATCTCCTACACCAAAGGCTCCATAAGCGTGGGCAGCCCCCAGTTTAAGGGCCGCGTTGGGTTCAGCTCCAGCATGCCCTCACAAAACCTGTCTCTGTACATCAACGACACGCAGGAGTCCGACTCAGGACGCTATGTCTGCCAGGTCATCATCCCCAACGACCCCGGCAGCACCGCCCAGCTCACTCTGGACGTGAAGGGTAGGACAAATCCATAATATAAATATACTTCTTACACTGAAAACTGGACCTATGTTGTGAGATGTAAGAAAGTAATCCCTGTGTGATCCTGTTCTCAGTGCCCCCGGCGGTCCCTAAGTGCTCTGTGTCGGGGAAGCCGGTGCTGAAGGGGAACGTGACCCTGAGCTGCTCCTCCAGCTCCGGGAAGCCCCTCCCTCTGTACCGCTGGAAGAAGACCAGCCCCACCTCCCAGGTCTTCTTCTCCCCCATGCTCAGTAAGTGTCACACTAACTTATTATTGAGATTTATGAACCTGCTCCTGTCGCTGCAGCTGAGCAAGGGTAGACTTCAGACATGAAGATCAAGGAGTACGTTTGGATTTTAAAGAGTGTGTGTAAAATGTTCATGTGATTAAAATGATGAATACATTCAGGTGGAATAGGCAACAGGTTTTGTTTTGATCCACTTGTTGTTTAATATATATAATATTAAAATGAGTTGGATAAAACTACCTAATAATAAATTAGATACTAAGAAAGGATATGTTTGCAGTTCAGGGGGTGTGAACAGGTGGAGTAATGGGAAGGGGCCTACACTGCTGATTGGGCTCCTTTAATCCACATGACTCAGCTTTCCAGACACACACAATGTATGCAATGTAGGAGACTGTCAGGTCCCCACAGTGCGGTGACCTGTTAAATTATAGGCGAAAATAACACATTTGAACTGCATGTAAACAAGCACTTATACCTGACTATCCATAGAACGCATTTGAACTCAGATCTCTTGAGGTGAAAGGTCAAGGGACCCCACCTCCTCTCAGGTTCAGTGCTTGACGTGCACTCTGTTTTAATTGGAAACCATTTAAAGAAGAAACCGGTGCTCAGAAAGTGGCGCTGTGTGGACACACAACATGCTTTACCTGAGCCTACAACAGCTGACAGTACCATTCAATTTTGAAGAGTTTAAGGAAAGTTAGGAACCCATTTTGTATTGTCTGTGGTTAGTTTGGATGACAAAGTAACCAACACTTAGAATTAAAGATGAACTTCCATCTAAATGGTTGTGAATAATACAGCAAAGCATCTTCATATTGTTCTAATGTGTCAAAGCCATGGATGCGTCTGCAGTGTGATTCTGTTCTGTCTGGTGTGTGCATGTGGGTTTATGTGCATGTCTTAATACACATGGAGTAATGTGTATGCAACCTGGCTGTAGTCCTCCGTGTTCTCTGCTTTGGCCAAAACAAACAGTCTGTCTTATAACTCCATATTTCAAAGGTTCTTTTTGTTGGCCACATGTAGAACTTGGGAAGCAGTGTCAGACGCGCAGTATAAGTGTCAGACGCGCAGTAAAAGTGTCAGACGCGTAGTTTTGGTTGCTCTTGCACGTTTTATTTCCAGAAAAAACAAAACAAAATACGAAAACAATATCCCCTTTTTTAACGTAAACTTAAACAGCAGATCCTAATAATCTGTCTATACTAAAACAAAGGCTGTGTGTCAATGACGGTATTGCTGCTGCCCTCCCGTCACACACCGGACCTCCAATTTAAGGTTTTAGCCCCCCCTCACCCGAGCAAAGCGCACCTCCCACTGAAACAGAAACATTTATTAATAACGGTTCCAAATAAATCAACTTAAATGCGGCTCCTACACTGCTGTTTCAGATGAGAAGACCGGCACTTTGAAGCTGAGCAACCTGAACAGCAACATGTCAGGGAAGTACGAGTGCAGCGCCAGTAACGCCGCCGGCTCCGAGAGCTGCTCCATCAACCTGGACATCGTCACCTGTACGTAGCACCCAGCACCTGATGACATTTCAAGATATATGAGTTCTTTAGCTAATGTTTGTTTACTTGTAATGTGACCATTTTAATTTGACACACTCCCTTGAGTTTAACAAAGAGAACGTTCACAAAAACAATATGAATGCTATGTAGACATAATTACTGTGTTTCCTATCATTCTTCCTGTAGCCACTAATGTGGGGATGATTGTTGGCGCCACAGTGGGCTCAGTGGTCGGCTTCATCTTCCTCCTCCTCATCTGCCTGGTTTTCCAGGTGAAGAGGCGGAGAGACAATGAGGACGACATGGCTAACGAGATCAAGTGAGTTGATGTGGCGAGCCTTTATCAGTGTCCGTGTATACATCTACAGGAGGAGTAATGTAAGGGACAAATGTGTACACTCTGTGGCTGCAGTCAAATCCTGTCCTCTGTCTTTCACTAATCACTAATCCTTAACATCAGTGAAAAATGTCATGGGGTCAAGGAAAGATGTGAAGGAGAAGTCTTCAGGACATTATCAGAATTCCTTTATTTGTCCCGCAACGGGGACATTTACAACAGCAAGAGTACAGTGCAGATTAAGTCAAAAGAGTAGACTTACATAATTATTATATGAAAAGATATGCACACGTTATTAATAATAAATAAACACATTAAGTCAAATCAAATAACAGATAAGGACCAAACTTAAGAAAAACCATCAAACTCAGTCCATATTTTGAATTCTAACTTCATTTGATGATTTCATAACAGTAATACGGGTGACGTTCATGGTTTGCCTTTCGGTTTAACATATTGTTAAAAGTTCAAAACAAACAAGAACATTATGTGTAGTGCTGAGCTAGATAAGACAATGAAGAAGCATTGAATTACTCTCCTATCATGTAGAGAAACAGCTCTTATCATGGCTGACACCAAGTGACTTCTGGGTCATGTTACTCAGTTAGGAACCCTTTTGAGACTAAAACATTATTTGACAGTAATCTGAAAGAGGAAGTTGATGTTGTGTCCTGTCCCCCCCGCAGGGAGGACGCTCAGGCTCCTAAGCGTGTGTCCTGGGCTAAGAGTGGCATGGGGTCAGATATCATCTCTAAGAACGGGACCCTGTCCTCCATCGGCTCCAGCCCCCACCACCAAGAGCCCCCCCACCACCACAACAACCACCACCACCTGCAGCAATACCCGCAGCGCCCCCCCTCAGACACCGCCTCCATCATCACGGCCACGGGCAGCATGGCCGGGTACCGCCCCTCCCGCCACCACGGCGCCTCCACCCCCACCCCCACCCACTACAGCTACAACAACAACAGCACCCTACCGCGGGGGGGGGCCCTCCCCTCGGAGGCCAGCATCAACGGCAGCTCCCTCCCCAGGCCAGAGCGCTACGGCCAGCTGCCCCAGGCCCAAGTGCTCCCGCAGACCTACAGCCAGCCTCAGCACCTCCTGGCTGCCCCCGCACCCCCACCGCTGCCCACATCCACGGTCACTGCCTCCAACATCGCCCGCATGGGAGGGGTGCCCATCATGGTGCCTGCACAGAACCAGGCCGGATCTCTGGTGTAAACCTGCAGCGCTGACACAAACTGTCCTGCCCCCCCCCACACACTGTGGAGAGGGTCAGCTGCAGATATGTTGAAGGGGAACTCTACACCTAGCGTTAGCAGGAACACAGGATGGAGAGCTCCACTCCACTTCCTGCTTGACTGTCAGACACAAATTGTTTTACTTATACGTTAGTCTTTTATATTCTTTATGTACCGTATACATTTCAAACTGTATACTGTAGAAATTATTTTCATACATTTGTCAAGTATCCACTTTTCTACTTTATCAATGCATATCTAACATTTCATTTGTTTCTTTGTTTCATATTTTTCAAACGTTGTATTTTTTCCCCTGCCACACAAGAATGAAGCACATGGATAATGACCGGGTGGGGGGGTCTCACAGATGAATATAAAATAATGAAGAAGAGGGCTAAGCAGGTCAGCTGTGTCCATTATCTTCATATGAACACAACCTAAAGAAGGGACTGTCAAGACACAATAGATGTTAGCACAATATATCAGAGTGAATGTCCGAGTCAGGGACGGGCTAGGTGTACAACATGAAGATGTGTATTAATGAGTGTGTTGCTGCAGCAGCAGGACGTTATACATGATACAAGTTTGGCATTGCAAAAATATTTGTAATCCTTTTTTTGGCTTTACTTCTGTCGGTGGTTCAGATTATAAAATGCTTTCAGACTGAATTCTTTAAACACAGATTAGCAAAAGCCTCTTAGAATATTGAGCAGTATTTAGAAATGCAGTTTGGTGACTTTGCTGAAACACGAGTCCAAACTTTGAATAATTTAAAGTTGCCTGCTAAATTGAAATTGTAAATATGATATTTATTTTCTTACAGCATAGCATAGTGTTGGCCTGTATAGGAAATATAACACAGGTCCCATGTCTGCCTGCAACACTGGATACCGAACCAAAGATGAACAGGATGGGACGCTTCATTATTACATGTTTCTCTCTTTTCTTTCTAATTCAGGTCAGTTGGAAAAAAACGAATTTGTTTCCAAGTTACAGTAACAGGAAGTGACACAAGTCTTTCCAAATCAAGATCACTATTGTCCACGTGTTGTTCCGGAAGGTGCCTAAATAGTGCTCTGATACTGTTTCCTTTCATGAGAAACACCTCCTTTAAGTTTTGGGCTTTAAAGCAACTTCCGGAATATGATCAAATAAATGCCGGCTTAATACTGCTAAAGCTAGTTTCCATTTCAAATAAGAAATATTGTTTCCATCTGTAGCTCATTAACACACTACATGACACAGAGGCACTGTGCTCAGTGAGTGATCATTAAGATTATGAACTTATTATAAATGTTAGCTTTTAAATGTATACTATATTTATGCAGAGTCAGTATAAATCAAAATGGCTAAAGTCTTAATAATAAATAATGCGAAAAATCAATACATCTGTCTAAGACTTAAAAAAGTGTTAATTATGTTTTTTTTCTCTCCACCTTGAAGTCACAAAAATGCCTATTGCGATATAATTTGAATTATTTAAAGAAAGGAAAAACAGATATGTGTATAATGATCATACTATCCATTGTGCTGTGTTGTCATTACACTGGAGCATGTGTGAGCAGAGGATGTACGTGATGATGTTGAAGAGTCACATCATGTGTTTCACTGAAGCCTGACGGGTCAGTGAGCTGCCAGGAAGCTTCGGAAGTTATTGTTTTTTGTATTGTTTTTACTACATTAAAGCCAAATGACAAGAGTTCATGTGGGAAGTGGTAAGGAAATCATTTATATAGCTACATTGTTGTGAATGGCAGTGTACATTATGAACATAAAAATGTATTCAAGACAAGCCTTTATTTTGATACAGTGATGTATAAGAGCACAGAGCTCGCTGTCAGTGAGTTCCATCATGATGGATTGTTCTGGAGGCCAGACGCTCGTCATGTAGGCAGTAGGCCTGACCTGTGGACCTCCATGTACAGTGTGCACTTGTATACTCCATATTTATGTTTATGGAAAAGCTTTGTAAAACATTTTCAATTAAAAGAGAAATGATCACTTGTGTGTGTGTGTGTGTGTGTGTGTGTGTGTGTGTGTGTGTGTGTGTGTGTGTAGTAGTTAGTAGTAGTAGTAGTAGTAGTAGTAGTAGTAGTAGTAGTAGTAGTAGTAGTAGTAGTAGTAGTAGTAGTAGTGTAGTAGTAGTACGTAGTAGTAGTAGTACGTAGTACGTACGTAGTAGTAGTAGTAGTAGTAGTAGTACGTAGTAGTAGTAGTAGTAGTAGTGTGTAGTAGTGTGTGTGTAGTAGTAGTAGTAGTAGTAGTNAGCCAACGTTTAAAAACTCTTTGTATCGTCTTTTTGCCATCATGTACGATCGGGATTAATCAATAGACAATAAACAGATGCGTTAGAGCTGATACAAATACAATCTTTTATTTTTAGTTTATTTGTATTTAGAAAATTAAATCATTCAATATACAATGCTATATTGCATAATTTCCTTTTCAAAATAAAAAATAAAATACAAAAATTATAAAAAAATTAGTATTTGCAACGCAGCCATCAGCTCTGACGCTGTGTATGTAGCAATGCATTTAACTGGCGACCCAATCAAAACGGGTCCGGTCGCAACCCTGAGTTTTGGAAAGGCTGGCTTAGACAATTCAAGCTTTCCACAAGGCATTTACCGCCAGGCTTCTATTGTAAAGCAGCCAGATTTAAATGCGTATTTATAAATAATAATTTCTTAATGTTGCAGTGCCAAATGTCTGTGTGCTGATAAGATAACATTTGCGGTTTATACTTGTGTGTGTGTGTGTGTGTGTGTGTGTGTGTGTGTGTGTGTGTGTGTGTGTGTATGAGTGTATTGTAGCCATATGATTCCACTGGCATACGAGAGCATTACATTCATCTTCTCAGCAGAAACAGTCACATTTAATAACTGCTGTCTGCATCTGCCCTCTACTGGCCATAGTAAGCCAGTACAGGGTAAAACCTATTTCCACTACCACCTTTCAGAGATGTGTATATCTGACTATAACATTTATTTCCTAATATACATTATAATGGATCTAGAAGTAAAAAAATAAGCCTTTAGAAGCATTTGAATGGACTTAATAGCTTTCACAATCCCGGAGGTCATCCTGAGATATAATGTGGGACTTTTTTTGCAATACAGTGCAATAATCACTTTGTTATAAATGTCCCAACATTTTTAGCCATAGCTTTGTACATATTTTCTTCAACTAATCCTTTATTTTCTATATTTGATAAGTGAGCTTATTATTTATGATGGCATGCCTTTTATTCCCTGTTATCCCACTGTTTGCTGTAACACTGTATTTCCCCGCTGCTAATAAAGGAACTCCGATTCTGCCACCAGGGACTAGCACAGTCCCTCTATCAGCGACACAAGAAGCCAAAAGAAAGACCCTTATGCTAAAGTACACATACATTTCAAACTCAACCCTTTCTCTGCATATTGTTGTCTTAAGGCAACAGACACACATTGTAACATTTTAAGTCTTGTTTCAAGCAGAGACACAAGTAACAAACTGCCAGAGAAGGTTAAACAAATCTGATAATTGAACAACTTTAAATCAAGATTAAAATAGACAAGCATTCAAATCATCCTTTAAGAAGCATCATTGATGGTTTAAATATATCTATATATTTGTATTAAACACTCCAACACTATGATTTTTGTTTTGTTTCTTCAAGTGCAATTGGTTACTGATAAGAGATGTTTTATGATGATAACCCTGACCTGATGGAGTTGTGGTTCTCTCCTGCACAGAGCAGTGACAGATCCACCAATCACAATTGAGAGGAAGTTCTGCAGCATTTTTTGCAAGTGTGTGCTGAAAGTTAGAAATACTGGGACCCATGAAGACAATGTATTTTGTATTCAAACGTACAGAAAATATGGTAAATGTGAAGCATCCAGTTCACACACTGAGAATGGACTTCACTGACAGTGAGGTCCATTCCACACCAACTCTGCTTTTGGGGTTTTCCCTCTCTTGTAGTGTGTTATAGGTTTTAGTGCATGTAAATAGTCTGCAAAGGCTAAAACCCTGTTCTCTTCAGAGGCAGTTTCTCTCCCATAAAAACACCCTTTGTGCTGTAGAGATATCCCGGGGCTCATCAGAATTGACATGTTACCTAAACTCTGAGGGTAAAGACAGAAAGACAGATGCAGTCAAAGCTAGGGTAGAATGTTTATTAGAATTAGCGATTAGCGATGTAACATTCACCTACATGGCACAAAGGAAGTCATACATGTGCTAATATGCAAATATGCACACCTTTATTGAAATGAGCTCATCACATCAGGGGATGATATATCAACAAAAAAATACGCCTCCACTTATCCTGAACAGGGTGAAATGACACGGTAAATAAAAGTCAAAAGTCAACAACAGAGTTTATATAAAAAAATTGAAAAAATGTAAAGTAATTGAAAAAGAGTCATAAGAGCATATTAGGTGAACTAAAAAGAAAAAAGCTTTAATATGCACTGCACCCGTAATAGTCGCGTGTCTCCTCTCATCCACATGGAGCTACAGTACTAAGTTGGCAGAAAAGGTGCATGGCTTTTATATTCAAATGAATGTTCAAATAGGGTGTATCATGTATGGCATTTCATTTATTTGACAGTATGGTCCTGATGAGTCAATGAGAACAGGCAACAGAACTCAGTGGGAAAGAGCTCAGTTTGAACACATGTTTAAACATTTGGCAACATTGAGATTATGTTAGAGGAAACAAAGAGACTGTAGAGAATAGAAATAAAAAAAGAAAGTCAAAATAACGTTGTATCCCTGTAGCGAAGTGGTGTTGTGATATTAATAGCATGTCATGCTCTTTTGGTGAAGTCCTTTACAGTTGTAAACTACTTGTTGGGGGGGGGGGAAGGTGAGCTCAGCGAAAGGCAGTAATCAGAGTCGAGGTGAACACAATGATGTCGATGATGAGGATCCATGATTGATAATGGTAAAGATGGGAGGTCATGCAGCGGGGGCCAGAGGCAGGGAGGGGTGGAAAGCCCTCAGGAAGAAGTCTCCGTCACAATGTGGCCCCTGGCCTCCAGAGTTTTAGGTGGGACACAAGACTGGAGAGGAAACAGCATAACAGTGATGAGTCACTACAGGAGGATATATAACACATTATTGTAGTGATTATTGTAGTATAATGAGAAATAAGACAATACTCCAATCAGAGAACATACTCTAATTTCACTGTTGTGATTGTATTTCCTTTGTGCAGGTCTACTGTGGTAAGGGTTCCAGTCAATAGAATAATGTACTAAATGTACGTTGTTTCCTTACCTTTCAGTATGTAGTCAGTTAGCAATGTAGGCACCTTCTCACTGTCGTCCTTCATGGCATAGAGAACTAGGTGGGGAAATAAAGTGTTTTAACTCTGGGAACACTCTTTTTACCCGCTGGTAGATTTGTATTTGCCTTTGTGTTCTGGGCTATTCTTACTTTTTGTGAGCATCTGCAGGTCTTCAACAGTTGGAGGGGTGCCTTTCTTCTCATATGGAATAACTGTGTTTAGATACTGGAACAGGGACGTTCAATGATCAGGGTTAACACAGCACTTTACCGGAAAAGCAATAGCTCCACATTTTGGGAAATATGCTAATTGTCTCTCTTGCCATGATTTAGGTGAAAGTATTAAATCCACTCTGATGTTAATATATGAATATAAAGCTGAAGTCAGGAGATGAAAATGTCCCCTCTGTGGGAAGAATAAAGGTATTCTGATTCTGATGGTTCAGTTAACGAAGAATTTGAAAAAGAAGGACACATTTAGCCTGGCTCTGTCCATTATGAGTGTGTTACAGGTTCATCTAATGCTAATTTTTAACCATTATCTTTAGTGTCTGGTGTATAATATTTAATTGTGTAATTACAACATCATAAATGCAGCACAAATGCTCTATAAATGGTTTGATTTAACCTAAAACTTTTGAACTCTGTCTTTACCTGTTTCTCATTTCCTGTGCTTCCAAATGTCTGTCTGATGCCGGTCTGCAGGATGTTAGACAGTCCCTCCATGCTGAAACGCTGTGGGCGACACACACACACACACACACACACACACACACACACACACACACACACACACACACACACACACACACACACACACACACACACACACACACACACACACACACACACACACACACACACACACACACACACACACACACACACACACACACACACACACACAACAAAATATACATTATTAAAGGCTGCTGATCATAGCTTTCTTGAACAAGTTGAGAGTCTGATCAAGAGTATTTTTTGTCGGAATCCAGTACAGGATCATGACATCACAGTACTAAAAGCTTTATTGTTTATATTGCATCTGCATCAGTAAGACATGTGTCCATTAATATTCCTTCGGTGATGCAGCCTCAGGTACCCTGCAGTCAGCACATTAAAGCTGCCGCATGGAGAGGAAATGCATTAGGTTGTTTTTCTGTTCCTGGACAGACTGGACTTTTACTGTATGAGAACACTGCTCTCTTTAGGAGCTTTAAGACACTTAACAGGCTAATGGACCTGAGATCCATTATGCCAAAAGTCAATGAGAAGTAAGAGGGAGAGCTTTCAAGCATTGTGCATTTAAAAAAATTCTAATTGACTTAACTTAATGAAAACTGCAGAATAATGCGCAAAAAACCTTTTCTGAGATAATCCGGGAACATTATCTCTGGTGTAGGGACAGTAATGGGAGAACAAGTTTGCATAAGGTGTGTAAAAGGGCATTCCCACAGACTCATATAGTGTGAATAATTCAGGGTATTTAAGGGCATGTGTCTCACCTTGACAGGCATGCTCCCGGTCTTCTCTGTGTTGGCTGTGGGGGCTGTGTTCCCTCCGGTCACAGGGGGCGTCCCCCCCCCCTGCAGGCTCAGGGTCTTGTCCCGGCGTCTGCGCTTGCTGCTGTCCCGCTGCTCCCTCTGCCTGTTCTGCACCTCCATCAGGGCCGTGATGAACGTGTTCTTCACCTCCTTCTCAAAGTCCAGCTCCTCGCGCCGGGCCAGCTGGCCGACCAGCTCCTCGGAGAACTCTCTGATGGTGGCCTCCACCCGCTGCAGCAGCTCCACCAGCCCCGAGCTGGGCATCAGAGTCAGGCCTGCAGGGGAGAGTTGGGTTTTACTTTGTGCAGCTGTACCCAGCGGATCAGAGATAATGCTAAAATATGATCTAAATAAGGAGTGCTGGATTCAACGATATGTTTACTGCAACACCATTTGGTCTCTCTGACACTAGCATTATCATTAATTTACTTAACTGTGTTCATCTTTTGACTCTTTCAGGGTAGTGGTTCTCAACTTAATGTTATTAGTAACCAACTTCCAACAGAAAGGATTTTTGACGCATATTGAACGTTTATGAATTTAATTTAGGGCAGTTCGATCACAGAGTGATATCACCTCTGTAGATTATTCAGAGGATATACTTAATAAGATTTATAGGGTTCCATAGGGGAGATTTTGAGAAAAATAAGCAACCATTTAAATTAATCTCATGACCACTTGGAGGATCCCAATCCCCAGGTTGAGAAACACTGACATTGCGAGGTGAAGACAATTGGATCAAAAGCTAAATCCTCACATAAGCAACAGGTTCAAACCCATCATTTACATTTAACACTAACAATTCATTTATTCTGAAAGGAGATAACCATGTGGATTACTTAATCAAAACTTGTTATTTAACGGTGTCCTGGTGACACACATCTCTCCAACCTCTTTGCAAAAAGTAAACATGTTGTTACATTAAATGGATATATATTGCAACTTGTGCTTGCTTGTTTGTCATTTAGTGGGAGTGCTGACACAGCTGTTATGCTACACACGAAATTCTTTATTATCCCCCCGGGTTATTTTGCACCTCTTCTCCTCCCACATTGAACATCGCAGAAACTCTGTTCAAACATCAAAACGCTCAGGAATCGATAACTATTACTTTTATCATTCATAACTTACATAATTCCAGAGATACATCCCATAATTCATCACATTATTTATATGGAAGTCAATGGAGAAACTCTTCAGACTTGAACAATCTTCATGCAACTTCAACTGCTAACTGCTCCTTTCACTCAGAAACCTCTTTCCAACTTTAAAATGTTACACATCTTTCTCACATTATTCGTGTAACGCAACTTTTAAATCTGATTCTGACTTTTAGAGATATTAAACATTGTTCAGACCTTGGTAAAGAGGCCTTCTTCAGATTTTAGAGTGCGTGATGTGATGACAGATTTAATTTTGCCTTCATATTTTCTTTTAAACCTGCCATAATTCCCAAACCCTACATTCCTGAGACATAATTATTCATGACAAACGTAGTAAAACATCTCGTAGCTTGAAAGATAAAAAGAAATTAAGCAAAAAATAATTAAACAAAATGCCTCTTGAGGGCATGAAGTGACAAAAACTTTCAACATGTCTCCATTAAACTCCATTGTAAGTTCAGCCTCATCTTTCCCCACCACAGCAGCCGCACAACTTTAGTTAATCTGCCAAAAAGGCCACATTATTAACCCAAAAGTACACAACAAGTACACTTCAGATACTGAAGTTCCTTGACATGCTTCACGTTTTGAAATGTCACCGATATCTGTTACGGTTCTTCCACAAAACGCTCACATGTAAGAGGTTTATCTCTCATTCAGAACAATGGAAACCTTTGATCTCTGGACACGTCGTTAGCTCAAATATAAACACCTGTGTCATGGAAGACGATGATGTCATCGCTCCAACTGACATGCTCAGAGCAGCAGACTTCAGATAAAGGTTAATGGTCCTGCCCTCAACAGCTCTACGTCAATTATGGGGTGTCATCATATGCCGTTTCCCTCGCCATAAAACACGATATTGCTATAACTCCTATACCATTTTCAAAAACTGCTCAAACTTCACATGTGTGCCAACAGTACAGATGTGAAGACATCTACGGGTCAGTTTTGAGATTTCTTCAAATTCCGTTACCATGGCAACACAATACTCGCCATGAAACACGGTTTTCTCATAACTTCAGTGAAAATGCTCCAAACGGCCCAAAACTTCACAGGTTTGGTAACGATGCAGCCATCAACACATCTAAGCGTATTATGGGATGTCATCAAATGCCGTTGGCATGGCGTCAGATCATTCACCATCAAGTTAGTTCAAAAGTTTGCAGTTCAAATATTCTGCTGCTTTTCCAAGCCTTTTTACTTTCTTTTCTTCTCTCATCACACATTCAAGCCCCCAGTGTTCATGTATCATTTCAATCTAAATTCTTCACTTTCTTCTTACACATTACATTTCAGCATAGCAGTTTAGCGTCAGCTTTTCAGCAGAAAGCATTCCGACTAACAATTTTTTCAGGAATTGCATTCTCTAGTTGATCATGTTGTCCATTGTGATATCTATAATGTCCAGGGAGGCAAGAAGGGGGGAATAGGGAGGTTGTCTATGGTATTTGATTGAAGTTGAACGACATGCTTCACAGGCACTCACCTGTGTATGGTGTATTACCATTTGAAAGACTGCTTTACTGTAAGAAAACGTACCTTCGTAGGAGCAGTTGTTGTTGGAGGCCAGGGACAGCTGCCGGATCTCCTCCAGCAGGGAGGGGCTGGTACTGGAGGAGCAGCGGCTGCTCTCCTCCTCATCCTCCTCCTCCTCAGTTTCAACAGGATCTGGAGAGTTCTCCATCATCTCATCTATCTCCTCAATGACCTTAAAGAGAGGATATGGCAGGATGCAGGGAGACAATATATGGATCAAAATGTGAATAGCACATCTAGCAGTTCAAATAGTCCAAACAGTTCCTCAGGGACCTGTTCTTGGTCCTTCACTTTCTTTCTTTATGCTGTTCACACCCAAAGACTTGTTCCAGGATTGCAGGGATGATATCATTGATTTCATGCTTGATGGGCAAACCCCTGTTTTACACCCTGATTTATTTGTCATATTATCAAAAACCGGACACTGAGAAAGGGCTGTTTGTTATTTAACACACACAAACACACTCCCACACACCTGATCAGCTGTGATAAGAGGCTCTTCATTCAGACAGTTGGCGTTGTCATTCTTCTCATTCATCTCCTCCTCCTCTTTTTCGTGGATCTGCAGAAAGGGAGACAAAGCATGAGAGCAACAAACAAACAGATGGGACAGTACAGTGTGTCTTCGTGATGTATGAGAGACAAAGCGCTAAATCCACAATCATTTCTTAAAATAACTTTGTCTGGCATGGTGGAGATCAGTCACAGAAAGTCTTATGGTTAAATATTTGATAGGTTTTACATTATTTAGTGTCACCTTTTATTAAGCAATATACTCCACTACTGTATGTTCCATTTTCAACTCTGAAATGTGGTTCAGACGGAAACTCCCAAACAGCTGAACTAAAGTCTGGAAGCAGCTGAACTGGAGCACTATGCTGCACTTCCACTACCCTCCTCTCTCTCTGGGGCAGGAACTTCAGTCTGGCCTTGACCAGCCCAAACATGGCCCAGACTGCTAAGTGCCTGCTGTCCAGCTGTATAAGGCCATTAAGGAGAGAGAGAAAGAGGGGGGCTCTGCTGAATGGCAGCACAGTCAAGGTTGGCCAGGCATGTCTTCAAGTGTCAGCATAAGAATAAGCCTCAGAAAGAAAGTGTCAGGATGATGTTAGCTGCTCAGCTGGACCTTTCAGACCAAAACATAACAATCAAAAACTGATTTTACCCAACAGCTAAATTGGGCAGACTATTTTCACAGATCTTAACCAAATATAAGGGCGTGGAGTGATTCATACCTCCTGGTCCGACAGATTGCCGTTGAGTCCCTCAGAGTCGTTGCCGTCCCAGGTGGAGATGTAGTTGTCGGTTAGAGCATCCCACACACTGCAAAACAGCACACACACATGCACTCATGTAACCAAGGTAAAGTACCACAGAGACATGTAAAACAGCATCAGGCTACAGTTTTCTTCAGTGTTGTTTCCTCTCCCTGGTTGTAAGGAGGTCTCCAGCAGCCTGCAACTTAGTCAATATGTCAATATGGTAAGTCAATGATGGAGGTCAATACACAGAGCTGGAGGCTGCAGAGAAACAATGCACAACAGAAAACAGCTTACTACTCATTAAAAGGTATCCTTCGCAGAGATTTAGATAAAGCTTCTCACATCATGGTGGAGGTCTCTGCCTGCAGCCGTGGGCCAGCATCTGTCTGAGCGGGACCACAGAGAGCAGAGAGAGGGTCTTTGTGTTCCTCCTCCTCCTCCTCCTCCTCCTCAGAGGCTGGCTCAGGCCTGCTGCCCCGGCACTGCCTCCACAAGGCACACTGGACACCATTCAGCTGACCGCTTACCTCACCACCCGCACGATGACATTATTGTGTGCACATAAACAATGTTGTGCTGGCATTGTTCAATGTTTTACTGATGTAAATTAACAGCATGAACCATTTTTCATTGCCAATCAAACATTGAGGACTGTCTGCTGTCAGAGAGAGGACTTCTTACTTTTGATTGTGTTATTACTCTGTTAAGAAGGATGAAATACTGCTATGAAATACATTTGAACTCAAAATGCTGCTAAACAGAATATTTGTTTCGCAGAATAAAAACCACACTGAAAAAACGTAACCGTTGACTTTAATTAAATGTATTAGGTCAACACATTTAGCATAACTGTATTAGGTTAGTTGAACCTAAAATGTAGAAAACTAATCGTCATTGTTGCTAACATTAACAAAGTAGCTGCAGCCCAAAATAATGGAATAACCTCTTAAAAAAAACCTCACCTCTCCTAAAGTAATGTAGTAGAATGAAACAATTTTTTGGGAAAAAGTCAGGTGAGCTGTTCCCGAGGTTTCTAGCCTTATGCTAAGCTAACCTTGCTAACTTTGTAACAATAATAAAATGTTCCCATTTGTCGTTGAATTAAACGGAACACTTAAAAGTAAATGGAATTGAATCAGCAATCAGCACACTACAAACCATTACATGTCGGCTCGTACCACGTGCATAATAGAGGGGCGGGGGGCATCTGGCTAGCAGGAACAAGAACTCCATGTCATAGAGCTGTCCTACTCATGGGTCCTGCTGTGTTAGTTGGCCTGCAGCCATGACATAAATCATTCTTCTCGTTCTCAGTCAGCTACAAAATGTGCGACAGTCTGTTTTCAAACAAACAGCAGAATGACATAATTTCTGTGAGGGCACAACTTAAAGATACCCTTTAAATCAGACCACCTGCCAATGGAGAGAGATCATTGTCCAGTATGCCATAACACAACTTAATGTCAGAGTTATGAACATAACAAGTGCTTTAGTTTCTAGTGATAGATGCTTGAGGTGATTTGAAATGGCCTCATGTATCTTGCAAAATGGTTATGGAAGGGGCGGGACTATTAGGAAAAACCCCAGAGCAGGATGGAACGGATGTTATGTTATTATATCTGTAAGAGTCCTCGGCCACAACAAATCAGTTTAAAGCACAATCATCATAACGTGCAGATTGATCACATCCACCCACAGCCATGTGCATCTGTCAGTGATCAGTAAATGCAGACCTATTTTATCAGGGCAATTTAATAGTGCTTGTTAGATCATGTGATTCCTCTCCAAAGCTCTTCTCTACACCTACAGGCAGGCTATTTGTAGTTTGATTCATATCCACACAGTGTGAGGACCTGTGTGTTTCCGCCTGGCCGCCCGCATCTGAAGGAGGAGGGTCTCCAGTCAGCTGGTCTGCAGTCAGCTGGTCTGCAGTCAGCTGGTGTGCAGAGACAGACACAGAGTGGGAGCTAACTGAGGCGTGCCCCATGCACAGTGAATAATTCAGACTATGGCCCCCGGACCCGGTGCTGCTGACTCACTGGACCTGCTGAGACTCTGTTTTTGCCCTGAAAGTGTGTTGTATATAATAATGGCAACATGATGACTGTAATTCATAATGACTGAGTGTAATTAGCATGATGAACTGGAGGAACTGGCTGTCATATTTTACTTTGTCATGACTCATTACAGTATTAATAATAAATAATAATAATAATAATAATAGATATATTTTGTTAGCGCTTTTACAGGTGCTCAAAGAAGCTTTACAGATATACTGAAAAGAAAAGAAAAGAACAACAAATACATATATATAGTTAAAGTCAAATGAAAAACAAGCAATACAAAAACAATCACACATTAAAAGCCAGATTGAAGAGATAGATAGATAGATAGATAGATCTTTAATTTTGTCATTGTACAGGTACAACGAAATTACAATAAACTCAAGGTGCCAACACGCAACAACAAGACAAGAGGTGAGTTTTTGTACGTTTTTTGAAGGTGCTGAGGTCGGTGCAGTCTCTGATGGGTTGTGGGAGTGAGTTCCAGAGGGAGGGGGCAGCGAGGGAGAAGGCTCTGTCCCCACAGGTCCGGTGATTGATGCGGGTGGGGATGGATAGGAGGTTGGCTTCTGATGAGCGGAGGCAGCGGGAAGGGGTGTGGTGGTGCAGCAGGTCTGTGAGGTAGGGGAGCCTGGTTGTTGAGGGCTTTGTGAGTAATCAGGAGGACTTTGAAGTCGATTATTTGACGGACGGAGAGCCAGTGGAGGTTCTGGAGGACGGGAGTGATGTGGTCTCGGGAGCGGGTGTGGGTGAGGAGGCAGGCAGTGTTCTGAGTTCTGGATATGTTGGAGTTTATTGAGGAGGTTGGATGGTATGCCGTAGAGTAGGGGTGCCCAACCAGTCGATCGACTGGTCGATCGCGGGGAGATTCCCAGTCGATTGCGAGATGTGTCTAAAAATAGAACAACAATATTCTGTTTTATCGTTAATGTCCTATAACATAATCTTCCTTTGCCAGAATAATGCACTTGAACGCATCAAAGCTTTGTGATTGGCGTGACCCCATGTGTCGGGGCGTGGCTGGTGGGCAGTGGCACTAGTTAGCTGATGTTGTCCTTGTCAACCAACAGGAGTGACAGTCCGCACACACACAAGACCACAATACACTACATGCACTCGGACCAGTGACGTACTTCCGGCTCCGTGTTATTGCGGCTCGTCTGCTTCCGGTCCCTGCCGTTTGCCGTAGAGCGTCTGGTTTCAAAATGAGTGTACGGAAAAAAATATTTAAAACGGAGCATATGCAAAGGCAAACTTAGGAAATACTCCGAACATGATGTGTCCCACTGTGTGTTCCAGCGTCGGCGAATGTAATGCCTGTTTTGAGTTTACATGGCTTTCCAACCCAACTCAACCTAAAGAAGACAGTGGCTTGTAAATATCGCCGGAGAACTTCAGCATCACTTCTCACTCCAAGGTCTGTAGCAGACACTTTGCCCCGATCAGCTAATAAATCCAACGACACTTGATGGTCGAAGGAGGCTCTTAAAGATGCCTTACCCCCCCCCACCCTTGCCCCCGCCCCCCCCCCCTCTCTATTTGGACTGGTAAGATCTCGGCAGACTGGCAACTTTAAAAAGCAGCTCTATGGTTCAAAAGAAGGTTGGGCAGCCCCTGCCGTAGAGGATGCTTATTGCAGTAGTCGAGTCGTGAAGTGATGAATGCATGAATCAGGGTTTCAGCAAGCAGAGGAGGAGAGTGATGGGCGGAGACGGGCAAATGTTTTTGAGGTGGA